GACACGTATCCATTCTAATTTAATTAAACTTGAATTTAAAATCGTCTTGTTGGTAAACGGTTAATAATTGGCTAACGAGTGTCTGTTGTCGGTTAGGAAAAATAACCGAAATGAACATCCCTAGGCCTCACCAAATCGATCACTTAAATTTGTATGCTGCCAGTGAGTGGGCAACTTGTCACAAAGTTATAATTTGTGTCCAAATGCACTGATTTATGAGGATATGAAACCTCTCACTTATTTAAACTGATTATAGGTCAAGAATTTCTCTTCATGGCGCCTTGTAGACGCTCATGATGGATTATTTAATCTGACCACTCACACTAAATGAAACAAGACAGTCCTAAAATGATTGGGAATTAGAGCTGTATAGCGTGAAATTGCAGTATTGTGAGAGTTTGTGCTCTGAGTGAAAGAGATCCTTTTGCATTTCCATCCATGTCATATAGTTATACCCCCTGTTGGCTGTGAATGCAAATGAAGATGGACCATAGAAGCAGATCGCAGTGTCTTCATGAGATATGCAGAGAAAATACACATGCAAGCCACTGCATGTCTGAACTCTTCATTTAAACTCAAGGCCAGTTTTCCACATTGCTTATAAGTTACAAGAATGTATGTAAATAAATAATCTATGTTTCTGTCTGTCTTATTTTATTTTTCTAAATGTTATATTTAGGTTTGATATTGCCAATGCCATTGATATTATCTATCATCCATTTGTCTATCTGTCTGTCTATCCATCCGCCTGTCTTGTTTGATTTTTCTAAATATAATATTTGAGTTTTATATTATAATTTATATTATCTTTGTCCATCCGTCTGGATCTGTCTTATTTTATTTTTCTAAATGTAATAAATGGGTTTTAAATGGTCATTTATATTATCTATCACTCTATCTATCTGTCTGTCTATCTTACTTTCAAAATTTAATGTTTAGGTTTTATATTGTCATTTATATTATCTATCCGTCCTTCTGTCTGTGTCTGTAATTCTGTTAATCTGTCTGTCCATCCACCTGTCAAACAGATCTATCTATCAATCGTATTGGTACAGCTCTAGTCTGATGTACTTTTTGTGTAAGCAGTATGTGTTTGAAAAGGCTGTGGCTTGTACTTGATGTACCCGTATTATGCTACCTGCTTATTCTCAAGGCCTGTTTGAGTTTAAGAGGATTTAACAGGATTGTTCGGTCAGAATTACACAATGGAGTAGAAATTTTTGCCAAGTCTGCCCGACTTAAACATAGTTGAATGGAGAATAGCTAAGCCACATGGCTCCGCTTAACTCAGTTATGTGATGTCAAGCCAAAAAAATGAGCTGATTTACATAAAAAGGAAAGTCTGAAAAGTCTTAAATGCAAAGGAAATCTAATGTAGAGGGCACTTAATGTAGAATAGTCTCAGAAGTTCTCTCAAATGCAAATAGGGTCCATGACCTTTAGCTCGGGAGTTAAGTAGTGTCAAGGCTACTGCGGGCAGAGGAGATACATAGATAGCACAAGTAGCATTTGAGAGTTAGCAGTGTCACAGAAAAGGGTAATTGATCCACAGTCTGTATAAATTACACAGAGTTGTCAGCTCTTGTGACTAAAGAGCTTATGATGTTGCTTTAGGGTCTTTCTCAAGCAAAACTTTTAAGACCCCACTTGATAAGCGTTGAAACAGGAAGTCTGGTTTTGGGGCATATCAAAGGTGCAGTCTTTTTCAAATTGTCATAATTTGCTACTTACTAGCCGGTATTTGGTTTAGGTGTTGTAAAGAAAGACAAGATCCCTCCGAAATCACATACTGTCTTGTAGGTACTACATTTGATTTGAACTTTACTTTGCAATGTAAAAAAAAAGTATGTAATCCAGGTCATTTTGCACACTTTTTATGAATATATGAATTCGGACATACTACTTATCTTGCATACTGTTTTGTAGGCATATTTGAAAGCAGGGGCATTCTTGTTTTGGAGAACATTTAATAGGACAGCTATCTGGGGAGCATTTACTTCAAAAATCTGTGTAGTTCAGGATGATGCAATCAATTTTGGTCTGTGAAGAAGAAGTGTGTATATGCTATATACTAATTTTGTCACTTTTACACTTGTACTATATGTAGATGACCTCAGGTTTAGTAAACATGGACTAAATGACGCAAAGCTCTGCTATATTGTTTGCTGTAAAAACGCATTCAGAAATATCCAGTTATTTCTGAGTGTGAGTGTGCCAGTTTAAAAACATTGGTACAATTTATGTTTTTAAAACAAGTTTTTAGCCTTCTCTGTCTTCTCTCCCTCTATCCATGCACTTGTGTCCCTGGTGGACCTCTGTGTTTGGGGGCCTGTTCAGGGGAAACTGGAGTTGTACTGCTCTGCGGTGATACAAATGTCCCCCTGCAAGTTCAATAAGCCCTTTGTTTTCTCTGTTAATGCTGCAGTGGAGTTCAAGTGCCCTCTCTACTGTGACTCCCAAGCAACTTTTAGACTCTTTCACTTTTATTGTGACCTGCCAAAGCCACTGGGCCCAGAATATTTGACACAGACTAATTTTGATAGGTTTGTGTTCAAGGCAACGTTTATGCAAAGTAACCCAAAGAAGTTCATACACAATTCATTACAGTTTTTTAAAATAAGTTTACCAACCAGTATTTAAAATTAAATGGTAATAATGTCAAATTTGGTAAATTTCAACTTTATTTATTTAATTTACGCTATTTATCTCTGAATATTTCCGCAGACCTCTAGCACACTTCTAACCTCTAACAAACTCCTGGTCCACAATAGAAGTATAGAGATACAATAAGGTCCTTCCACTGATTATGCACATTGTGTTTGCAATCTGTGACGAAAGCAGCATGCAGTGCGCAACAACGTACCCCACCTTCCTGTCTGATGGGAAGCCCCCTGCTGTGAACATATTGAATGCTCATGTACTGTACTTCAAAGGATGCCGGATTACAGAAGTTATAATAGTCTAGATGCTCATAAATGAGTCATTGTTTTCTTCTCAATCATTTCCTGTCAGCTCAGACTCAAGCTTGCAATTGTCTGAAAACCTAGTGAGTCACAAACGTAAAGTAGAAAAGACACTTAATTTGCTTATATTCTTCTGTGAAAAGCAAAAATGTGTAGCCAGTAGCCCCTCACTGCAGAACACAAGATCCAGGGGGCGTGAATGGATCCACATCTAAGGGGTGGAGATTGGTAGGTTTAGGGGTGGAGATGGGTGGGTTTAGGGATCAGGGGGTAGAGATGGGTAAGTTTAGGTATATGCAAGGTGGGAGAAGAACCACACCCCCTGGATCTTGTGTTCTGCAGTGAGGACCATCTCAAAATGCACCTGGTCTATGTTATACATATAATAGAAGTGAGCAAGAACTGGGGCTTTCAAACTCCAAAATGACACAAATAGAACTTTACAATACCATGAAAGTGGTACATATGATTTATGTTTGAGGAATGGTCATTCTCTCCATTTCATTCCCAAAATAGTTTGGTAAATGTTCCCTTTAGTTGTAAAACTCAGGTAAATGTTTTTTTGTTTTTTTTTGCAGGGATGACAAAGGATCTACAGATCTTTGGGATCTGAAATGGAGTGAGGTATTTAGAGAGATACTGAGAAACAGATTTGACTAAGTTTACTCAGACCTGCGATGAAATGATGATGTGAATGCAACTGTCACAGGTGTAGGCTTAAGTGAAGGTTTAGTGAGTCAGTACCTGTTGTTAAAGGCTTTGCCTTTGGCAGGTTCAATAAGGGCCTGTTGTGGAGTTGCTGTCTGCTTTAATTTGCGTTGGTAAATTAATTCTCGCACACACACTCATGCTTTATAGATGAGACCTGGTTTGTAGTCAGTGTCAGTTACCCGCAATCTGCAACAGAGTGGAGGTTGATATGGCGACAGCGTGAGCGCATGGAACAAGTATGTGTGCTTGTGTGTCATCCAGGTGCTTCACTCACCTATAATGGAGTGATCTTAAGCCACGGGAAACATGATGATTTAGCTAGTCTTTTGTCTGGAAAAGCAGCAGTGATTATCCTAAAATAAAGGATGTGGGTGATCTCACAAAGAAAATCAGGTCACAGTTTACCCCCTAATAAAAATAAGTGATTTTTTTATTCAATAAGCACAAATTGTCATTTCAGTAATGTGAAAATATTCCTGTCTGACAAAAGGATTTTTTCTGGAAAAGCAGCAGTGATTATCCTAAAATAAAGGATGTGGGTGATCTCACAAAGAAAATCAGGTCACAGTTTACCCCCTAATAAAAAATAAGTGATTTTTTTATTCAATAAGCACAAATTGTCATTTCAGTAATGTGAAAATATTCCTGTCTGACAAAAGGATTTTTAAAATTATTATTACATTTACATTTATACATTTGGCAGATGCTTTTATCAAAAGGGACTGTGCATTCAACTATTACATATTATTATGTTATCATATTATCTTGATTATTAAAATCAGCACCTTTTAAATAAGCAGCCTACTACCATTGTGTATAAATGATAATACTGAATACAGTGTAAATACATTTTGAAATTATTCTATTCTGTTTTCTTTTTATCATATTTAAAATATTTTTTAAATTAGAAAAATAAAAATATACATTTTTACATAACATCTCCCCTTTTTTTGCATTACTGTCCTCCTTTTTTACGTCACATTTTGATGGTCATAAAAATGCATAGAAAAGATATTGCTTTACGATTAATTTGATGCAAGATGTCTTTTTATTTTGTAGTGACCTTCTGAATGTAATCCTACAGTTTATTAAATACGTATGCGGTCACAGACAGAAGGTAATCTGCTTTTGTTTGAATGCAGGTGAGGAATGTGACGGCTCAGCTTCATCAGATATTGCCTGTTAAGCTTTTATGTCTCCACTTCATTCTGTTCCATTTTCCTCTATCCCACGATTCCCCAGTCTCCCCAATGTTTGCTGCTTTACCACTAACCAATGCTAACCAGTGTTTTTCTTATCTTTCTCCTTCCTTTTCACCTCCTGAAGATCATAGAATGATCAGTGCAGGTAAGCACAGCTTTTAGTAACTTCTTGAATGCTTAATCTCTGGCTTGCTTAGATGTTTTACTTAAATCCACTTTTTGCTCTGCAGAGCCTGAAACTTATATACGGCTCTATCATTGGTTGCTTTATAAACTTCCTCTCTTAGTTGGGCGAACAGCCAAGGATGTGTTTTTGAACTTGTGTTTGCATTCCATGATGATTTGGAATAATTCCTTCCACCCAGCATTGTTGTCACCCATATTAAGTGAATGGCATTATCCGCCACAGTCCTATCTGAGGGAAAAGGCCAGGATAGAGAGCCTCTTTGAGTAGGTGGCTTGTGAGGAATCTAAAAGCCTGAGAAGAATGAGCAGGGCCTTTTTTTTTCAAAAAGTGGCTGATAGCTGTGCCAGGCTTTAATTGAAAATGGTGGTAATGAGTGTGTGAAAGATCAATGTGGTCTCCGCGCGCACAATCTGCAGCCAAACCCCTGGAGTGTGGTTAAAAGATGGAGGGCCCTTCCCCGTTCACCCTGTGCACTAATAGTCCCCACTTTAGTAAACGGGAACAGGAGAATTTTTCTCTCCCAGGAGTCTGAATGAGAAGAATCAATGAGAGTGTACCATGTCCGAAAGTCAGCGCGATGAGAGGAACTAGAGACGGATAAAAGGAGAAAAAAAGAAGCGAGTGTTGAAAAGGAATGGACTCCTGTACTAGGAGAGAGAAGTTATTCAATGAAACACAGTAGCTCCTCCATTGGGTCTTGCACTTTTTCTTTTGAGATGTTTTGCTGATTAATTTTGCTTCAGTTGCCCGTAAAGTAGAAAGATTATAAAAAGATTATAAAATGTTTTTGCATTTATTCTAAATGTATTTTTGATATCTATTTATCTATTTAGATTATCTATATATCAATTTCAGGTGGGATTTAAAATATATATATATTTTCACTTTATATGGTGAAATTTATTTTTCATTGAAGCTCAACAAATTAAATGCTTTATTGTTAATTTTAATTTACATTTTTTTCAAGGCTGTTTCAAGGCTATATATTATTTAAGAGTTTAGATTGTTCTAAAGCCATAATTTTGATATCTTAATACAAAGTTCCTGAATTACTATTGCAGGCTAGAACAAATATGTATTTAAAATACAGAGAAATAACAGATAATAGTATTTCTTTTAAATTAATTTTAAGAAATTAGCGCAGGAAGCGTTTTTTTCCTTAGGCATTTTGTTAAAGTTGAGAGAAATCATCTGTTAGGATAGAATTGTTAAGAATCATTCCACCATTGAGCTGCACTGAATGTGGAGGTTTAGGAAAGTGATTTTCGTCTCTGTCTCCCTCATATATAGGCTCTTGCGCACCCCCTGAGTTGACTTCGTGAACTCTCTGGTACAGGTACCTGTACTTTGTGAATCTCTTAATTTATGTGTAAATAGTCTGCTCTGACCCGGTTATCTTAATATTCAGCAGTGTCCAGTTTATAAGTAATAGAGACAGATTTAATTTGGCTTTGTAGGTGTGGTTTAGGGTGATTGAGTCTGTGAATGTACGTGTGGTGCCCCGTATGGCGGCAGCTGTTGCCTGGAGAGCTCATTAACTGCAGAGATGTGACTTCTCTCTTCCTTCCATTACAGATATGCAAACACATAAACAACTACCTGCAGGGAGCAGCCCTGATGATGGCGCCCGGCACCAAGACACACACACAAACACACACACATCTCAGCCACAGGCATGCTAGTGAATTACTGTTAGTTCTACAACACCACAGACTGAATTCTCATCATTATCTGCTAGTAGCTCTTTTGTTTACTGGCTGTGATTGCTGCTTCACACATCCCATAATAATCCTCTAGGAGATAAAGAGGCACGGTTATTAAGTTTTTAATTTGAACACAGCAAAGTTTTCATTGTTCTTCAGCAGCAGACAGGCAGTCATTTAGCCATCATTGAGAGCACATGCTGTTCCTCTTAGAATGAAGGATGATGTTTTATGTAATTATTCAGCTTTCTGAAACGCTTGATATTTTTAAAAATAAATTTGTATTATTATTTTTTTTAATAGTTGTTTAATTGATTAATTATACAGACTTAGTTTCACATATCTGTGATCTTCTTTTATATATACTTCTTGAATTTTAAATGATTATTATTATTATTAATGATGTTATTATTATTATTATTACTAAAATACTATATTTTTTATTTTATTACTACAATAGTATTATTGCAATAGTAATATATATATATATATATATATATATATATATATATTTATAGTGGTGTTTTATTTTTATAATTTAAATGATTAATAAAAAAATTTGTTTTTCATAATAGTAACTTCTTATTATTACTATCATTATCCTTGAAATTATACCAAATGTAACAAATCAATACATTTATATATTGGGGTGTTTTATTTTTATAATTTAAATGATAAATAAAAAAAATTGTTTTTCATAATAGTAACTTCTTATTATTACTATCATTATCCTTGAAATTATACCAAATGTAACAAATCATTTATATATTGGTATTGTTTAGTCATATTGAATTGAATAGTGGTATTTATTTTAGTTACTGTTTTATAAAATATATTGCTGGAGTGATTTTACTAGTTGTAAGGATTCTAAAGCTTCACTTTTTCCCTAACAACATCCATTACCCATGTTGAAATCACTGTAGCGCACCTCAAGTGGCTTTTTTCTTTATTTTACCGAGCTAACCGTACAAAACCTCACTGACAGTGTCTGTAACTCCGACGGCTCCTGAGGTTCAATGAGGCTGTTTGTTACCCAGCTCTCTGAGGTGTGAAAAACCCTGCCCCATTTCTTTTGTCACCATGGCAGGGCCACATATAAACACCATCCAATAAACACTCCACCAAAGCACAGTGTGGGCCTTCTGTTGTCCCATTAGATCCACCTCACCTCGTTCATTCCCCCCC